AAAATTGTGTGATAGCACACCCTTGTGATTTCAGCACTCAAGAGGTAGAGAGGCAGGAGGATCAGAAGTTCAAGGTCATCCTCAGCTACATAAGGAGTCTGAGGACAGCCGGGGAGACATGAGGCCCTTCCTGTCTCAAATAAAAAAAAAAAAATCCCATTCTTGTCCTTTGTCCTACTGTGTGTCCAGGAGCTTGGCTTCTGATTAGGCGTAGCCCAGGGCAGGACAACAGAAGGGGCTTGTGTCCTCAGGCTCTTTCTGGGGGGTTTGTTTCCCCATCTTCCAGGATAGGTCCTGGCCCTTCCCAGGACTACTGTGTACACCCATCACTCTTGGGGCTCAGGGGTTCCTGCTCGCCCTAGGCCGCCCACACCCCTCCTCTCTGCAAACACTCTCAATTGCTCTTCCAGACAAATGACTGTCTGTTTCCTGCCATGGCGTGGCTCGTTCGGGGCGTGGCTCGTTCGGGGCGTGGCTCGTTCGGGGCGTGGCTCGTTCGGGGCGTGGCTCAAGATCTACCAAGCAAAAGGCTTTAAGGATTACTTCGTTCAACCTTGGCCTCTCTTTCCCTCTCTTTTTTGTTTGTTTGTTTGTTTGTTTTTAAGATGGGGTCTCACGTAGCCCAGGCTAGCCTGAAATTACAGGCGTGCACCTGCACCGTTACATCAGGATTACGCAGTGCTGGCAATGGAACCCAGGACCCCATGTATGACAGACAAGCCCTCGGCCAACTGAGGCCCATGCTTGACGCCCCCTCCCCTTGCCCTTTAGAGACAGGATCTCCTGTAACCCTAGCTGGTCTTGAACTCCCTATATAGCTGAAGCTGGCCTTGAACTTCTGACTCTCCCACGGCTACCTCCCATTCCTAGGATTAGGTGTGTGTTGCCATAACCAGCTTCAACTTCAGCTTTTGACCTGGGTGGAGGGGCGAGGTCTAGACTGAGTAAGTAGGCTATCCAGGATCACCCAGAGTGAAAAGACTGTGGAGGGGCTGAGGGTGTTGACCAGTCTGGACTACGGAGAGAGACCCTGTGTGGTGGTGCATGTCTTTGATCCCAGCATTTGGGAGGCAGAAGCAAGTTATAGGCCAGTCGGGGTAACAGTGAGAGTCTGTCTAAAAAAAGAGAAGGGAGGGAGGGAGGGAGGGAGGGAGGGAGGGAGGGAGGGAGGGAGGGAGGAGAAAATAAGAAGGGGCAAGAGAGATGGCTCAGGGGTTAAGAATGCTTGTTGCTCTTGCAGAAGATCCAGGGTTGTTCCCAGTGCCCACACGGTGGTTCACAACCATCCATAACTCCAGTTCTAGGGGTTCTCATGCATCAGACATACATGGACATCCACGAAGGCAAAACGTGCATACACATAAAATAAATAAATAAAGGGCTGGGGGGGGGCATGATAAGGCATGACTGTACTCCTGCATCTTGGGAGATGGACACAGGAGAATTAGTTCAAGGTTATCTTTAGCTACGTAGTAACTTGGAGACAAGCCTGGGCTACATGAGATTCTGTCTCAAAAACAAACAAACAAATAAATAAATAAAAGGTTCTAGAGAGGCCCAGGGTGGAACCCTGTTTACTCTCTAAGCCTTCCTGCTTCTCCCAGCCAAATTGCTAGAGCTTCCTCCATAGAGGAGCCTTATCTATCTGTTCAGGATCATAAACTACTCAGGGCCATTAGCAGGCACCTGGGAACCCAGCCAGCAGTACCTCGCCTGACTTCCTGCCTCCTAGGGTGAGGCCCTACATGTGGCACCAGCGATCACCCACCCTCCCTCGGGTCATGCTGTCCCTAAACTGCCCGGCAGAAACCTGCTGTTGCTTTTGTCTGGGCACCCTGCCCTTGTCCACCTGGCACAGGTGTCCTGCCCCGTCACCCAAGGCACATCGCTCCAGGAAGCTTCCGCTGTGCGTCTTTCCAACAGCTGAGTGCACTGCTCCCTGCATCCCCGCCCTTGGCAACCAGGGAAATCGTGGGGGCAGAGCCTTACCGGGCATCTGTGGTGTGGAGCAGGGTTGATGATGATACATCCTGTGTGGCCTGGATTAGGTTGCAGGCTGGGGTGGGTCTGTTTTGCTTTGGCCAGAGTTGATACTAGTTTTGGGAACCATAGCTTCATATGTGTATCCTGCCTCTAGCCCCCATCCCTATCTGGGCTTCTCCATCTGGAAGTGTGGGTTGTACCAAGTACAGTTCCAAGCTAAACCCTAACTTTTCTTTTCCTAGATTTTTGTTAGTTAAAAACAAAAACAAACAAACAAAAAAACCAGGGTCTCTCTCTACATAGCCCTGCCCATCTTAGAACTCACTAGGTAGACTGGCCTGGCCTTGAACTCACACAGATCCACCTGCCTCTGCCTCCCAACTTCCCAAGGGCTGGGATTAGAGGTGTGCACCCCCATGTCTTTTAAGTCCCTCAATGGGACTAGGAGCTGGTTAATCTACCTAGACGTGCTGGCTAGTGAGGCCTGGAGATCCACCCACATCAGCCTTCCCAGCTCTGTGATTACAATTGTGTGCTACCATGCCCAGCCTCTTTTGTAAGTTCTGGGCATCACCTCCGGTCCTCATGCCTGCCTGGCAAGCACTTTACCGACTGAACCATCAGCCCATTTTCACTCCTGGCCTTTGATAGGATGCTGGCCAAGCAGGACAGTGGTGAAGGCTTTTTCTGGGTCCATGGTCTCTACTATCTACAGGCTTCTTGTTTACAGGTTCAGTCTTCCTGTGGGCCAGGGAGACCATTGTTTGATAATAGGGACATGGGTAACTCAGCAGGCCTCAAACCCTGAGTCTTCCTTTCTTTTTATTCTATCTATCTATCTATCTATCTATCTATCTATCTATCTATCTATCATCTATCTATCTATCTATCTATCTACCTATCTACCTATCTATCTATCTATCTATCTATCTATCTATCTATCTATCTATCTATCTATTTTTGGTTTTTCAAGACAGGGTTTCTCTGTGTAGTCCTGACTGTCCTGGAACTCAATTTGTAGACCAGGCTGGCCTTGAATTCTCAGAGATCTGCCTGATGGGGGATTAGAGATGTGAGCCACCACTGCCCGGCAAACTCTGAGTCTTGACATCTTACTTGAAAGCTTCTCCCAGGGGAGCTAGGACAAGGGGACAGGAAGACAACCCAGGTGGTGTCTTAGTGTTTCATTGCTGTGAATAGATGCTATGATCATGGCAACTCTAATAAAGGAAAACATTTAATTGGGGCTGGTTTACAGTTCAGAGGTTTAGTCCGTTGTCATCATGGTGGGTTGCATGGCAGCATGCAGGCAGACATGGTGCTGGAGAGGTAGCTGAGTGCTGTGGGATGTTCTGTATGTTAAATGTGTTGCTCTGATTGGTTAATAAATAAAACACTGATTGGCCAGTAGCAAGGCAGGAAGTATAGGTGGGAGGAGAGAAGAGAATTCTGGGAACAGGAAGGGTGAGTGAGGAGACGCTGCCAGCTGCCGCCATGAGTACCAACATGTAAGATACTGGTAAGCCACAAGCCATGTGGCAAGGTACAGATTTACAGAAATGGGTTAATTTAAGATAGACAAACTAGATAACAAGAAGCCTGAGCCACGGCCATACAGTTTGTAAACAATATAAGTCTGTGTGTGTTTACTCGGTTGGGTCTGAGCGGCTGCGGGACTGGAGGGTGAGAGAGATTTGTCCTGACCGTGGGCCAGGCAGGACTGGAGAAAACTTCAGCTACAGCTGAGAGTTCTACATCCAGATCGGCAGGCAGCAGGAAGAGAGAGTGAGCCACTAGGCCTGGCTTGAACTTCTAAAACCTCAAAGCCTGCCCTTTAGTGACACACTTCCTCCAACAAGGCCACACCTACTCCAACGAGGACACACCTCCAATGATGCCACTCTCTGAGTCTATGAGGGCCATTTTCATTCAGACCACCACAGGTGGCTAGGTGTGGTAGCCCAAACACATAATGCGGACACTCAGGACATCAAGGCAGGAGGATCATGAGTTCCAGGCTGGCCTGGGTTTTATAGTGAGACCCTATCTCAAAGCAAGTGGGCATGGTGAGGCACATGCCTGTAATCCCAGCACTTCAAGAGGCAGGTGCATGAGAATCAAAGCAAGTTCAAGGCCAGCCTGGACTACACAAAGAGACCTTCTCTCTCTCTCTTTTTTTTTTTTTTTTTTTTTTTTTGGTTTTTCGAGACAGGGTTTCTCTGTGTAGCTTTGCGCCTTTCCTGGAACTCACTCTGTAGCCCAGGCTGGCCTCGAACTTGCAGAGATCCGCCTGCCTACCGAGTGCTGGGATTAAAGGCGTGCACCACCACTGCCCGGCGAGACCTTGTCTCTTGGGACTCGGGAAATGACACAGTTGGTACCTTGCAAGCATCAGGACCTGAGTCTGATGCTCAGCACCTGTGTAAAAATGCTGGACTCGGGTAGCACAAAAAAACCAGGCAGATAGGCCAGGAAGTGGTGGTGCACACCTTTAATCCCAGCACTCGGAAGGCAGAGGCAGGTGGATGTCTGTGAGTTCGAGGCCAGCCTGGGCTACAGAGTGAGATCCAGGACAGGCACCAAAACTACACAGAGAAACTCTGTCTCAAAAATAAAAAAACAAACAAAACAAAACAAAAACCCCGGGTGCAGCAGCCTGTGTTCGTGATCCCAGGGCTGGAGAGACAGGGACCTCTGGGACTCAGTGGCCAGGCAGCTGAAAGGGACTGGTGAACTCCAGGCTCCCTGACAGACCCTGTCTCAAAGAAACCCAGGCGGGGTTGGAGAGATGGCTCAGCAGTTAAGAGCACTTGCTGTTCTTACAGAGGACTCAAGTTCCCAGCGCTCACACAGTGGCTAACAATTATAAGTGGACCTCCAGTTCCAGGGAATCTGATGCCCTCTTCTGGCTTCCTGGGGCACCAGGCGTACATGTGGTATATACAAATATATGCAGGCCAAACACTCACACATATAAAACCCAAATTAAAAAAAAAGCAAGGTGGAGAGAGAGAGAGATGGGTTTCTACACGCACACATATACATGAGCACGTGTGTGCACGCACATACAAAGAGAAGAGTGGCGGGGTGGGGGAGGTGAACCCAGGTACATGTCAGATAAATACCAAGATATTAGGGAAATTTATTTCTGGTAAGGACTGGCTACTCCAAGCTTTGGGCTGAAAGCATTTCCCCCTAGAGGTCCAGCAACTTCCAGGCAGGCCCCAGCTCAGGCTCAGCCGCTTGGCCCCTGGAGAAAGCCCTGGGAACTTCTCAGGAACTCCGCTCGGCTCGAAGGCTGTCCACCTGGTGGGTGTGATATCGCCTCATGCGAACTTGCTGCTCTGGGCTGGACACAGGAGTTCTCCAGCAGCTTTGGAAATTTGGGTGGGAGAAAATGGGAGAGAAGGGTTGATGAAGGGTCTTAACTCTGCTCCACTTTTGCGTGGATTCCGGGGATGAAACTGACATGGGGAGTTTAGAAGAATAACAGGGTTCTCTTTCATGAAAACAGCCCTGCCAGCTCAGTTTCTAGCTCCCTTGCGCAATGGTTTGAAGCTCTAGAAAACCTCAGTGGGGTTTAGATAAGACCCTCTAAAGTTATTATTATTGTTGTTGTTGTTGTTAGTTTGGAGTTGCGTCTGTGTCAAAGAGCACACATGGGCCAGTGAGATGGCTCAATGCGTGAAGGAGCCTGCTACCAAGCCTGAGGACTTGAGTTCGATCCCTGGGTCCCACACGGTCGAAGGAGAGAACCGACTCAAAAGAGTTGTCCTCTGACCTCCACATGTGTGTTGTGGTACACGCGTGCCCACACACAAAATAAATATATCAAGTGGAACATAAAAAACAAAACAAAACTTTACAATCGGCTCCTTCCTCTCCGTCATTTTGTGCATTTTTATGTGTGTTTATTTATTTTTTATTTTATTTTATTCTGAGACAAGGTCTTATTGTGTAGGCCTGGCTGGACTGGAACTTCCTTATAGACCAGGCTGGCTTTGAACTCAGAGAGATCTACCGGGCTCTGCCTCTTGAGTGCTTCGATGAAAGACCTGTGATGCCATATCCAGCCTTCTCTCTGTCCCTTTGAAACTGTACTGGCAGGAATGAAGATAATCTTTTTTCTTTTTTAAAGACAGGGTCTCATTTAGCCCAGGCTGGCCTTCAACTCCTTATGTGATGGAGGTTGGCCTTGAACTCCTGATCCTGCTGGCTCTACCTCTGAAGTGCTGGAATTACCGGTGTGCACGGCCACGAATATCTGTTTTAAGCAGTGCTGGGAATAGCTTTGTGCGTGCTAGGGCAGGCACTCTACCAACTCTACCGCTGCACCCTCGGCCCAGGAATAAAGAGATACTTATGTCCCTCCCTTTGGCCATCAGACTATAAAACAATGGATCCCATGAAATTCCTCAGGAGTCTCATGCTGGGGAAGGAAAGGGCTGAAGCCTGGTGCCAGCCAGAGGGAGAGTGGCCAAAGACAATGGTGGATGGCCAGTGATGGCCGGGACCACACCTCGCCAGGAGTGCCCAGCCATGCCCATTCCTTACCCTCTATTTAAACCTAGACCGCACGTCAGGATCTTGTCAGGATCCCAGAGATCGACTCAGAGAGTCACTGGGTCTCTTTGTTGCTCTTTCACGTGGAATACATCTCCTTTCTCTACTTTCGACTATTTTTGATTTATTTTATTCTATTACCTTGAAGTGTGTGTGTGTGTGTGTGTGTGTGTGTGTGTGTGTGTGTGTAGAGGCCAGAGGCATTGGATCCCTCTGGAGCTGGAGTTACAGGTGTTTGTGAGCCGTCAGACATGGGTGCTGGGGGCAGACCTCAGCACCAAGTGTAGTACACGCTCCTAACCATTGAGCCATCTTTCCGGCCCCTGCCTCTCATTCTTACCCGGCTGTCTAATTGGCCCGTCCAGGATGGGTGATGGAAACTAGCTTGCTAGGGCTGCCAGCCCCCAGGCTTTGACCCTAATAGGTCCAGTAATACCTTCTTAGTGCCCGGCCCCACCTAAATCCAGGGATCCTCTAAACCAGTGGTTCTCAACCTTCCTACCACCGCGGCCCTTTAATACAGGCCCTCATGTTGCGGTGACCACCAACCATAACATTATTTTCATTTGCTACTGTTATGAACTGCAATGTAAACACCCACTATTCAGGATATCTGTGACCCCAGTGTAAGGGCCCGCTATTCAGGATATCTAATATGTGACTCCAGTGTAAGGGCCGTGCATCTGCAACGGGGTCGTGACCCACAGGTTGAGAACCACCGCTGTAAACAGTATCAATCGGTCTCTCTTGATCACACTCCACTGCTGGTTCCCACGGGTCTGTGAGGCGCGCGCGGTTCAGTTCCTCTGCTGGACACCTCGACTCCCTGCTCATGCAAAGTGCGTCTGTCTCCCGGAGCCTCCCCCGACACCTCCCCACGTCCCTGCCTCCCCTTCACAGAGATGCCTCTCCAAGTCTCTCCAGGCGTTGGGTGTCTTTTCTTCTGGGAAGTTTTGTGCCAGCCCCCAGCACTCCAGCTCTCTGCCTGAGATCTCAGAGCAAAGGCTTTCAGTGGACTGAGCCTGAACGCAATTCACCTTTCTTCCTGGGTGGGTGGGTGGGTGGGGTGGGTGGGGGACGGCTCACTTTTGGAGTGTTTTCTGACTACCCGCTTGCAATTCCACATACTGCCGCGAGGGGGCAAGCGGCGACCGCTGAGAAAGCAGGCCTTTGATGGCGACAAGGGAGAGGGGCTGCAGAAATCTTCGCCTAATCTTCAGGGCGAACAACTTCATCAGACCACAGCAAGAAACGACCGAGGCTACTTGCTGGGAGGCGGGACAGCACCAACCCTGTCCACTCACCAAGCAGCTATGACCAGGACGAGGAAGACCGCTAGCAAGATTGACAAGAAGGTAATGATGATCACAGTACTCCTGCTCCGGGACTCTGGGGCTCCTTGGAACGTCTGGGCTACACAGAAGAGCAAGAAAAAAATTATTTACCCCCGCAAAAGGACCATTTAGGCAGCTTCCAGACCAACTGTGTGCACTGGGGACGTGTGAGAATCGAACAGGGACAGACCAGAGGAGGGGTACAGGCAGAGAATAGGCTAACACTGCCTCCTGATAGGGGGAGACCTACCTTCCCCAGCCCCCGATGTCCCCAGGTCCCTTAGCACCCCCTCTACCTTCTGAGATGCTCTTATGTCCCATACCTTGCTGCAGATAGATGTCCTTGGACCACTCCGTCTCAGCCGCAGGTCCCGTGGCATTCATGGCCAGGAACTTCACTCTGAATAGGAGACAGCATTGGTGGTGGAGTCTCCCCTGGGTCCTGAAACCCTCAGCTCTTGATGCCTGGGATCCTGTCCTCTGGGGAGAGCAGCCTGAGAGCAGCAGGAGTCGGGACCAGGACTAAAGAGCGCAGCCCCAGAGCCCAACAGAAGCTGCAGCTTGTTGGAGCTCTGTGATATGGGCGACGGCCCTCACTGTGTGTGCGGATTGAGATCTCTCCATACCAAATACGAGTAAATCAAACATGTAGTGTGGGGAGAAAGAGGACCAAGGCTAGTCTCCACCTATGAATGCCTGGTCTGGATGAGGGACAATCCATATGCCTGGTCAGGACCTCCCACGGCGGGTGAGGGCTGAGTTAGAATTGCTACTTTAAAAGATGTGAGAAGGCGTGCCGGGCGGTGGTGGCCCACGCCTTTGATCCCAGCACTCGGGAGGCAGAGGCAGGTGGATCTCTGTGAGTTCGAGACCAGGCTACAGAGTGAGTTCCAGGAAAAGCTCCAAAGCTACACAGAGAAACCCTGACTCAGAAAACGGGAAAAAAAAAAAAAAAAAAGATGTGAAAAGGTCTTAAGAGCATATTTCACCATGTCAGGTAGCTCAGCTGCCTGTAACTCTAGTTCTAGGGGACCAGACATATGTAGCTTCTGAGGGAACCCACATCCATGTGAACAAACATACACACACATAGTTAAAAATTTTTTTTAAAATCTTTCTTTCTTTCCTTCTTCTTCTTCTTCTTCTTCTTCTTCTTCTTCTTCTTCTTCTTCTTCTTCTTCTTCTTCTTCTTCTTTTTTAAAGAAAGAAAAAAGGCCCAGTGCTTAAAAGCACTTCTTATTGTTGCAAAGGACCCAAGTTCGATTCCCAGCATCCACAGGAAGGCTCAACACCTCCTTGGGCACCAAGGACATATATGGTACACGGACATACATGTAGACAAAACAGTCATACACATAAAACAATAAAAATAATTTTAAAAAAGAAAGAAGGATGTAAGGACCTGCCTATGATCCCCCAGTGAGAGGGTGGGGGTGTGCTTGCTCCATGTCCCAGGTTCCACCCCAAGGGCCACTAACATACATAAATAAGAAAAGAGGGAAGGAAAAATACTGGGGAATGCAGGCACCCCCATTTAACCTCAATGAACCATCCAACTGCCCTGGGTGTTTGTGCCAGGCAGGGCCCCTCCCCCATCTTCGCTGCTCACCTGTAGGGGCCGGCACCTGGAAGAGGAGGATTACAGCCCCGGGAGGTCGAGGAGCAGTGGGTATCATTGCCAACACGGAGGACTCGAAGCTGGCTGCCAGACTGGCTGTCCTGGTACTGTACCCGGCTGGCCCTCATTGTGAGGTAGAAGCCATTGCGGTCAAAGCTGGCAGGGGCATGTGTGTCCTGTATCTTCTGCGGGGCAGTAAAGTTCTGGGTGGCTGAGGGTGGCACCGAGGGTCAGCCAATGGGGATCACACGGTTCCGTGCTCGCAGGCTTGACAGCCTTTCCCAGCCACGGCCCCCAAAGCACCTCCTGCCCAACTCCCCCTGCCCGCTGTACCTCTCAGCCCCCAGGCCTGTCTGGCCATGTCACAGTGAGAAAGCCAGCACGTACCGTTGCTGTGAGCCACCACCAGCCAGATGGGGTCTGGGTCAGAAAGGCTGACATTCTCAAACTGGCCCAGGGGCTGCTCCAGTGTGAAGGTAGACTGTGTGAGCCTTCCCAGCAGGGTGGTGTTAGCGAGCTGGGGGACATAGTTAATGCTCTCTGGGGAGAGTGGGAAAAGAGACCAGAGGGAGGCTGAGTAAATCAGTCCAGCGTTAACGGACCTGCCTCCGAAGCCCCAGTCCAACCATTTTTTCCCACCACGGTTTTATTAATTGATTAATTCATTGATGTATTTATTTATTTATTCTCTCTGTCTGTCTTTCTATCTCTGTCTGTCTCTCTGTCTCACTGTGCGTGTGTGTGTGTGTGTGTGTGTGTGTGTGTGTGTGTGTGCATGTGTGTGTACACACCCATGTGTGCCACAGGTCAAGGACAATTTTGGGGAGTTGGTTCTCCACCACGTGGGTCCCGGGGAGCAAACTCAGATCATCAGGCTTAACAGCAAGGGTCTTTACCAGCTGAGCCATTTCACCGATCCAAATTTAAGGAATCTTTATGGCAGGTGTCCTTGGGGGGCTGTAGAGCACCTGGATCCCCCCTCTCTTGACAGCCTATTGGGGAGGGGTACTGTATCACTGGGGTGATGGCCAAGGAATGGCAGATGGACAGAGGGAGGTTCAGGAGACTCAGATTCGGGACGTCCAGAACCCTAGGCTGGCTTGCCCAGAGACCCTGGGTGTCTCTCCGACTCAGGTCATGTGGTTCAGGCTCCTTTGTTTGATGAGAAGAAACAAGAGCTGGAGAGACGATTCCACACGCAGTAAAGCGCTTACCTCCCAAGCAGGAGGACATGTGTTTAGATTCCCAGAACCCATGTCACAAGTCAGGCGGGGCACCTGTAATCCCAGAGATGGTGAGATGGGAGGCCGGGACAAGAGGATCCCTCGGACTGATGGGAGGACTGGCCTGGCCCACATGGCAAAGTTCCTGGCCAATGAGAGACCCTCTCCCAAAGAGAATGGAGGAAAGACCTTGAATACCAGCATCCACGGTCATCTGCTGACCTATACACACCCCATAGAGCCACACACCTGTACCCTCATGTGCATATGTGTGCACACGCGCACACACACAGAAAGAGACAGACAGGCAGACAGACAGACGGAAGGAGACAGAGAGAGGTGACCTGCATGGAAGGGGCAGAGGGGGAGGCACACAAATGTCCCCTGGACTGAGACCCTAGCTTGGGACACAGATCGTCTAGTGGGGTCAGAGGCTAGCTCATTCAAAGACATCATGCTCCCTTCTCAGTGTTCTGCCAGCTCCCATCATCTTCCATCCTCATTGTGGTCACATGACCAACACCATCGTGGTCACATGACCAGTGTCTATCCTTTAAATTCTCATCCCTTTGTCCCCTTCTCAGATCTGTCTATACAGCTTCATATGCTACGGGGGACCCCAGGGGAGCACCAACAGCTTTCTCCTGGGAGAAGCTCGGCCCTCCCCTCAGTCCTCCCTGAGTCCTCCCCTGCCCAGGACCAAAGCCACGGTGGGCCTCCAACCCCAAGCCCCTAACACTGGGACACTGAGAAAGATGAAGTGGACTTTTATGCAAGTCTCGTGTCAATTCAGGGCTGCGGGGACGGCTCAAGGGGAAAGCGGTTGCCTTGCAAACTTGAGGACCTGGGTTCTAATCCCCAGCATGCACATAAAAAGGAAGGTGTGGTGACGAACGTCTGGAAGCCCAGCTATGGTGGAGACAGGCGGGTCCCTGGAGACTGACACCTGAGGTGGTCATCTGCGCTCCACATGCATTACCATCTCCACGATGCTTGCTTGTTTGTTGTTCGTTTGTTTGAGACAGGGTTTCTCTGTGTAGCCCTGGCTGTCCTGGAACTCACAGAGATTCACCCGGCCTGATAAGCTGAGTTCTGTGCCGAGGATCTCCTGACAGTTGCCCTCTGACCTCTACACTTGCATCACAACATGCATTCACCAATCCCCATACACACACAGACACACGCGCGCACGCGCACACACACACACACTAAACAAACAAAAACAAAGCCCCTGTCCTATCTGAGAGGACTAGAGTATCCTGTATACAACAGGTAGTTAACATTTGCTTAATTTGAGGGAAGAGAAATGGGGGTATGGAGAGGAGGGGGTTACTCAGGAGCCATTAGTAAAAATGTGGGCGTGAGAATCCCAAAGAGAGAAGCAGCGTTCTCGCTCTTGAGTCTGGGGGGTTGAGGGACAGACGTCCATCTGTGACTGTGTGAGGCGGGCTGAATGCCTTGACATACCCAGAAACCCAGTCCACAACCAAGGGAAGGGGCTCTGGAGGCCCCCCCCAGCTTCAAAGGAAGTCTTCCATCCTCCAGAGGGCTGAGGAAGTGGGGGTACCCCGTACTCCTCAGCTTCACTCACCCAGAGCTGCCCCAGGCTGGACCCGAGTCACCAGCAGCAACAGTGGCATCAGCAGCAGAGACTGTCTCTCACGGAGCCCCATGGCTGGGATGCTGTCCTTCCTCCCAGGTCTACCTGCAGTGTGGCCCCAGCTGCTCTCTCTGGGCTGGGCTGCTACCGCTTTGGGGGGGTGCCCCCTCCTCCCATACAACTGGTTGGACAGGCTCAGGGGCTGACGCTATAGGCTCTGGGGGATTCAGCATCACTCGGGATAGGTCTGAAGAGAACAGGACAATGAGAGACTAACCTCGACACCTGCACCCCACTCCAAGAGGACCTGGGCTGGGAGGGGCCAAGTATGGGGCAGGCAGCTCTGGGTATGGGCTGTCCCATAAAAATCCTGCCTTACCTGGCCACTGGGGCACCTTACAGCCCCCTAGTGAGGGAGGGAGTCCCTTTATCCTCTAGACAAGGGACACAGAAGGTAGGTGTCCCTTCAAGATCACCTAAGCTCACCGGCAAAACCTTGAGGTGGTACCAGCAAATGCTGGCCTGGGACTGATTCTCTCTCTCTCTCTCTCTCTCTCTCTCTCTCTCTCTCTCTCTCTCTCTCCCCTCTCTCCCTCCCTCCCTCCCTCCCTCCCTCCCTCCCTCCCTCCCTTCCTCCCTCCTTCCCTTCCCTCTATTTTAAGATAGTCTCTAAGCTGGCCTCCAACTCAGTATATAGCCAAGGATGGCCCTGAACTCCTGATCTTCCTTCCTGAGTGCTGGGATTACAGGAGAGCGTCACCACAGCCAGCAAGCCACAGTGTACGTCCACAAAGATAATATTCTATATCTCTGTGTATGTGTGAGAAATGTATGAGAAAGATGACAGAAAGATAGACAGACAGACAGATAGACTGATGATGGCTTAGTGAATTAATAGATGTTATATAGATGATAGGTAGAGAATAGGTAGATAGATAGATGGATAGATGCATAGATAGATAGATAGATAGATAGATAGATAGATAGATAGATAGATAGATAGATAGATAGATAGGTAGGTAGGTAGGTAGGTAGATAGATAGATAGATAGATAGATAGATAGATGCACAGATAGATAGATAGATGCACAGATAGATAGATAGGTTGAGACATAGTTCAACAATAGAATTCTTTCCTGGCATGTAAATGGCTCTGGGTTCTTCCTCAGAATCACAAATATATGGGAGGTAGGTGTATGCATACATACATACATATTCTCTCTCTCTCTTTCTCAAAAGGAAGTTGAAAGCAGTCATTAGAACAAGGAGCCAGATACAGTTAGTGTCTCACACCTGTAATCCCAGCACTCAGGAGGTGGACACAGGGGGATCAGGAGTTCAGGGTCATCCTCCACTACACAGCTACAGTACCCCGTCTAACACCAAATCAACCAAACAGGGTGGAAAGGGTGATCCTTGCAAAAGCATGTTCTTGCTCATCCTCTCTCAAGTCCCCAGAACTGGGCAGGGTCAGCCTCATGATTAATCATATCATACAGATGAAAGGATGTTTCCATCAGGGAGGGTAACGCCTGCACCCTCCCTCACGGTGGGTCAACCGTGACTTCCTGCACCCTCACGGCAGGTCAGCCAGGTCAGCCGTGACTCTAGGAAGCAGCCCCGCTCTCCCTACCCCAGGCAGGCTGCTGCTTGCTCTCTTTCTGTGTCTAATTCAAGGCAAACAATTCATTTATTTCTCCTCATGTTCCCATCTCCATTCCACCCCTGCCCGCTGCCCCAGGCATCCGCTCTAGCCAGTGCAGCAGAGACCCTTCTATCAGCTACCTCCTGTGGGATAACAAATGACCCCAGAATTAAGACTGAAAGGAATAAATATTTCTTTTTTCTTTTCTTTTCTTTAATCTACAGTCTTTTTTTCTCCTTTCTTTTTCTTTTTCTTTCTTTTTTTTTTTTTTTGAGGATTTATTTATTCAGCCAGGTGGCACACGCCTTTAATCCCAGCACTCCGGAGGAAGAGGCAGGCAGATCTCTGTGAGTTCGAGGCCAGCCTGGGCTACAGAGTGAGTTCCAGGACAGGCTCCAAAGCTACACAGAGAAACCCCGTCTTGAAAAAAAAAAAAAAAAAACAAGCAAACAAACAAAAAGATTTATTTATTTGTGTATTTTGTGTATGAGTGCTCAGTCTTCAGGCACACCAGAAGAAGGAATCTGATCCCTTGACAGGTGATTGTGAGCCACCACGTGGTTGCTGGGAACGGAACTCCGAAACTTCTGGAAAAGCAGCCAGTGCTCTTAACCGCGGAGCCATCTCTCCAGCCCCACTTCTTTTTTCTTATTTGTGCATGCATTAATTATTTATCTCTGTGTACGTGTATGCATGATGTGTGTGTGTGTGTGTGTGTGTGTGTGTGTGTGTGTGTGTGTGTGTGCGCGCCATGGCTTGTGTGGAGGTCAGAGGACAACTTTCTGCTTCCTCCTTGTTGAGGTAGGGTCTTTCTGGTTCCTGTTGCCATATTGTGTCATACCCCAGGGTAGCTGGCCCAGGAGGTCTGGGTGATTCTCCTGTTTCCACTTCCCATTTTAGCATACAAGTGCTGGCATTACAGATGTGCACTCCTGTATCTGGCCTTTTAAAAAAAAAGTTTACGTGTATGTGTGCGCGTGCATGTGTGTGTGCACATGTGTGTGTGTATGTGTGTGCATGTGTGTGTATGTGTGTGTGTGCGTGCACACGCACATGTACCTGCTAATGTAGAGGTCAGAGGACAACACTGTGGAGTCTGTTCCCTCCTCTCACTGGGCATGGTGGGAGCTGCCCAGTTCGTGGCAGTGGGAGTATGTAGTAAGTACGTTCACATCATGATGACCCAGGCAGTGGAGAGAGTTCAGGATAACTTTTGCAGACCCAACTCTAGTGACCTGTTTCTGCAACTAGACCCCACCACCTCCGCTACCTTCCCAAGCAGGGCCACCAGCTGGCGGCCAAGTCCTCAAGGCATGAGCCTCTGGGGGGGGGGGGGGGACATTTCAGACTTAAGCCGGAATGCGGTAGCTGCCTCTTGCTCCATTAAACTGAGGGCAGGGGTCAGCCTGTTTAGCTCCACCTGGTTTCTGCTGGGTCTATGATCTGGCAACTAGACTTGTCCAAAAACTGGTAATATGGAAACGTCCCTGCTCAGTGTGTCTGGCTGTGGCTGGGGCCTGCCGTTTTACTTCACAGCATCAGGTGGATGGTCAGAATGGCATGGCTTCTTCCCTTCTGGGTCCTAGAAGGGCCCAGCACTAGTGAAAATTAGCATGAAAGGGGTGGGTCCTGGGGCCCAAAAGAGGCCAGCTGGTGGCCATGCCAAGCCTCGGGGAATACTCTACCCCTTTTGACTTTTCTTGCTGCATACCTTTGGAGGTGACTCATAAGGCAGGTGGGGCCCTCACTTGCTGCCTCCTCCTCATACAAGTCAAATAGAGTTCCAAAGACTCACCCAGCTCTGGGTCACCAAACAAAGACTCAGCTCCACAGCAACCGTCACACCCACGGTCTGGGGAGGGACACAGGGGAACTGTGCCTCCAGGGATTGATCACGCTTGCCTCACGCCCTCTGAAGGGAGAGGGATTGGGGCTTTGTTTGGACCCAGAGAGAATGCACAGAGTACTCCGTGCCCCCAACCCCAAACCCTTATCACCTGGGAAATGCTCCAGAGCCCCTCAACCTCACCCCAGTTGTGAGTCTTTCTACGACAAGTGGTTCAACCCTACTGGTTGTGCTGTGTGTGTCTTCTGACAGGCAGCTTGCCACCGCCCAAGTCCCCTGAGAGCTTCCGGTACCTGCCACCATAAACTAGGAAGCTCTTTCTCCATCAGGCTCAGTGGTAGAGCACCTGCCTAGAATCCCCCAGTGAGGGGCTGGGGTGTGGCTCAGTGGTAGAGTGCTTATCTAGCATGTACAAGGCTCTGGGTTCCATCTCCAGTGTGGTAAATATAATCAAAAGCTACAAAAACAAACAAATAAACAAATAAATAAATAAACCATCAAAACCACCACCAACAACAAAAACAGGCATGATGGCACAAGTCTGAAATCTCTCCCCCAGGTTGAGGCCATCTTGCATTCCTAGGAAATGCCAGGCTAGCCTGAGACGCTTACCTCCAAAATACCAAGAGGGGTTGGAGAGATGGCTCAGCAGTTAAGAGTCCTGTTGCTCTTCCTGAGGATCCAGGTCCAGTTCCCAGCACCCATGTGAAGTTTCCCAGATGTCTGTAGCTCCAGTGGATCCAATGCTCTCTCCTGACTCCACAGGCACCAGGATACATGTGATACACAGACATCAAAACACTTGTACAAATAAAGAAACAAATCTTTTTAACATTTTTCAGTTCTTTCCTTAAAATATACAAAGAAAAATAAAGTTCTTTCTTTTAGTAGAGGAAGTTTTCAATGACAACATATGACATGGTGTCTTTAAATTAATTTTTGTTATAGCCGGGCAGTGGTGGCGCACACCTTTAATCCCAGCACTTGGGAGGCAGAGACAGGTGGATCTCTGAATTTGAGGCCAGCCTGGTCTACAGAGCGAGATCCAGGATATCCCGGGCTACACAGAGAAACCCTGTCTCAAAAAACAAATCAAGAAAAACTAATATGGGGTCAAGTTTGTCAGCTCATACCTATAATCTCAGGAGTCTGAGGCAGGAGAATTGACTCTAGTTCCAGATTGGCTTGGGCTACTGAGCTACAGAGGGCTGGAAGTAGGGCCAGGTTAGACCCTGCAAAGCCTGTGTCCAGGGACCTGCTTCCTTTAGTGAAGTCCCACCTCCCCCAAATCCCACAACTCAAAACACTGTCACCAGCCGGGGTCTGAGTGGGGAACATTTCATTTTTAAACCATAACAGGCTCTGATTCAAAGTTTCTCTGAAGATGTGAGGCCCTCTATACTGAAATTTGAGTGGCTCAAGACTGAGGTGATGTCAGAGGACAGAGGGAGGACCCTAAGTCTGACCAGTCACCCCAGCAGCACCCTAGGAGCAGTCCAGTCGGGTATGCGTGGGAGTGGTACAACCCACCACCTAAGCTCCTGTCTTCCTGCATCTCCTCAAATGCTTGGTTTATTTTGTCC